GTAACAGTGTCTCAAAGTTACATCACTGTAAAACTGATAGTCTCCATCACTGGAAATCTCCAATAAATACGAAAGAACAACATGAAATATAACAGTTGGAAATATGTGGGAGTGTTCAAGACATGACATCTGTGTTGGAACATCATATGCCACCATTTCTTTCAGCTGCTGAGAGCAGATGTCCCATATCTGCCTCTCATTCAAAAGGAAAGGAAAAATATTTAAGAGAAAAACCAGCAGCATTAGGACAGAACATTTTAGTTTTTACAATCACACACAGCAAAGAGGATTACAGTAAAATGATCTTACTTTCTGACTTTCTTCATATGCTCCTGTCTCTTTTAACACATGGTTATAGCATTTATTACTGCAATTAAAAAAAAAGTAATTGTTGTCCTCCTTCAGGTCACAAAAGCAGCGAGTCCCAGACCCCCCCATCACATCTATTTATAAAATATATTTTTTTATTTTGAAAAAATAAATCTTCAGATTTAAATGCCCCAATTCCTTTGCATTGCAAAAAGTAATAGGTGCCCACAAAGGGTAAATTTTCAACCTGTCAAAAAACTATTTCTCTTGTTTCATTTGCAATGAACCTTAGACATAGCAGAACCACTGAGAGGAACCAAGGACCTCATAAACAAGGGGAACTTCCCAGCCCTGTGTCTCACAGTCACATGTTTGGCCATTCTGTGCACTTCAGCAGCACCAGAAGGACTCCTCAGGTGAGAAGGGCAGAGGGAAGGCAGGAGATCCCCTGCTTTTGTACCTGGCAGGTACCCAGGTACTTGGAACAAAACACTGCTAAGATGCCAGGCAGCTAACAGCAAAGCACATTACTCTTTTCACAAGAATTTCCTTATTTCTGGTAACATAACTTGCACCACTTTGGTGGCAGGATATGTAGCATGTGGATCCCAAAAGATTGTGAGGCTTAGAGACTGTTGAGCTTCACAACAGACAATGGAACAGGAGAGTGATTTTCCCTGATATAACCACTCCTCTCACTTCTTTCTTAAATGTGAAGTGGCCTTCAAACTGAGTATAATGTCAAAAATTCTGTCAGGTTTTGATTGCTAAGCTGCATGGTGTAGGTAAAATTCAGACTGGTTGGTTTGACAAAGTTTTTTTGCCTCATATTAAAAGGTATTTGTAGTGCTAGTGGGGATTTAGAAGAAACTACAAGGATTATTTACTGCTGTAGAAAAGACCTGATAAATGTAGGCTCCCAACATTTAGTCCCATTTCCAACATGTAGTCCTATGTCTTTATTTTATCAAAGAAATAAGAGATGAATTGATTACAGCATGCAATTATCATTTGGATAGAATTGTGCAAAAGGTCAGAAAAAGTGCATTAGGAAGTAGGCTATGTATATATCACAGGCAGGACACCACTGATAACCAAGGACAATTGCAAACTCTCTGTGAGGAATTTCCAGATCAGGTCCTGTACAGGGGAACACATCTCCTTAAAGAAGTTATGTGGTCCAGCACAGCAGCAAGTCCATGGAGCTGAGTGGCCTGCCCTGTTCAGAGAAACCAGATCATCATTTGGCCTTAAATGTCCTGATCAGGCCCTGCTAGTCCCTTCTGTACAGTTGCAATAAGACTTCAGTTTTACAAACTGATATTTAATCGAACACATTTATAACACAAATTATACACTATTTACAAACCTAGTTCTTCATGGAACTCCTTGTTCAGAATGCTTCAACACAGAAATGATTTACCAATTTCTAGGTCAGGATTCTATGTCTTCCTTTAATTTGAATACCAAAACACTTATCAGAATGGAAGGAGCCTGCCCCTTCAAATACAAGCCAACAGTGTTATGTCCAGCAGAAAACAGCACCTCTCTCCTGGGATATATTAACTGTCCCCTTCAGTATACTTTAAAAATTATTTGAAAGCATTCTTGGAGACATTTAAAATATGTATCTTTTCCTGTTTGAGCTTTTCATGAAAGAATATATCCTGAACTGACTTCAGGGAGTGAGAATTTGCAATCACCCTTTAAAATCTAGACTCATTTTTGGGCCTAACTCCTGAAGAGGAAAAGACAAAACTATGCTTGAGCAAAGATCAGACAGGCGAAAATGCAAATCTATAACTTGTGAAGTGACTTTATAGAGAAAACCTGAGAGGACCTGTCAGCTCTTTGCTTTACAGACCACTTTCTTGATCATAAAGGCAGGCTCTGTGACAGGGATCCTTACCTAGACCTCCAGGCAGCTCTGAAACCGCTTGCTGGGCTGGAGCTGCTTTTCATGACTTTTTGCCAGGGCAGAGGCTCTGCAAGTTGCTTGATGAGAAACTGTGTAAGGAGAAGCAATATTCCTTCTGTAGTTTTAAATAAAAAGAGAAGTTATTTGACTGTGAACCTTAAACCTTCATAAGACAAGCTTGTACTGATATCGTTCAGTTCCCTGGAAAACACCGAGACAGTAGGGCAGGAAATCCCCTGGCAAGACCCTTCTTTGTGATTTCACTGCTAGGAACTCACTGCCAACACAAGAGCAACCTCTCCTAAAATGGACACTAGAAATTCTTTCTAGTCACTTAACATTTCTGGAGGGAAAGCTGGCCCTGTTGAAATCCAGGGGCAATTTCTATTGACTTAAGTCACTTAGTACCTTAATGAAGGTCCTGAGAGGGCAGACAAGCCACGAGGACATATCTGTATCAGAAATGCTGACAAAACCAACAGCTGAAAGAATACTGGAAACTAGTGGAGGAATTTCCAGTAAAGACTACTCAAGCACTAAAGCAGTGTTGCAAGATGGCTCCTATTTCTCTCCCACCCATCTTTCATCTTTTCAGTCCACAGGAGGGGGAAAAACAGCACAGAAACTTTTATGCCCCTTCTGCAAGGTCTGGCCCAAGGCTGCTCAGAGGAGGAGTAAGAAGGCAAGGCATACCTTGGTGGGTCTCACCTGTAACCCACCAACCCCAGGATCTCTACAGCAGTGAAAGACACTATTTCAGGATGTCATTCACTGGCCCCTTTCTCTGGTATGTATCCTGAGGATTGCTAAGCATCAATGGCCATTGAATAAGGGATGTTGTACAGTACATTTCTGTCTACTCCCTTTTGGGTTTTTTATGGACCTTTAGCCCATTATTTTTTCCATTCTGCTTTTGAACGATAACGATACTGTTATCCCCCTGACCCTTCTGCAGCAGCTTCCAGTAGATTGACATTCATTCTGGGAAAAAGTACTGTTCTATTATTTTTGTTAAAACACTTTCTCCTTAGTTTGCATATCCTGTAGTTCCAGAATTGCATGATTTAGCAAACAGTTTTGCATCTGTTGTTTGCTATCAACTGCTTTCACAATTTGGAAAACATCAATCAGAACCCCTCCTCCTTCAGCATTCTCTCTCCAAACTGGAAAGTCCCAGGCATTTTCATTTGCCCTGTTTTCCAGTCCTCCTTCTCTGTCTCTTTCCTAGCTATCCTTCTTGGAATACAGACACCAGAACCTCACTGATTAGGCAAAATGTGTATGCACCAAAGTTTTGCACAGAGGAAAAAATCATGCTTTCTGGTTTATTCACAAGACAGCACTGAGACAGGCTTGACATTATTCTGAATAAATATGCCTGGCACCACCTCCAAGAAATTTATGTCATGGGCCTGTCAAAGCTCTCCTCCTCCTCTGTCTTCAATCTTTTCTTCACCCTCCTACTGCATGCTCACATTCCTCCAAGCCAAGTCCACACTGCTCTCCCATTTTTCTGCTACACCCCCACTTTCCAAGCCTCTCTTTCCAATCTAGATAGACATCCTGCATGAACTGATTTACTGTGCACAAAACACTGCTGAACACACTATGAAAAAATATGGGAGATGTGCACCACTGCCTCATCCCAGAGCTAGCACCCACATTTGCATTGCTGTTGGCAGCAGTTGTCACCATGTGTATAATGTAAAGACATAATCTTTTCACATATCTCTGCTTGAGCTTCTTGTGTGCAAGTTTGGAGGGGCCAGGCCCCCAAAGCTTCCTTGCCTAGCACAGTGGATCAGGCCACAGTGCATCAGGATGCATTTCAATGTCTCAGCCACAGAGCCTGCACCTCCCACAGCTTTGCCTTCGGTGCTGAACATCAGCACCCAGATCAGTCAAAGCACCACTGCTAGTCAGGAGAAGGGAGGTAGGGAGGAATGCTATCTAATTCCACCTCTCCTTCCCTCCACCTTTGCTTCTGCACTAGAAGTTCACTATTTTCACAGCCATTTTGCCAGCTCTGGAAAGTGTATGGTGAAAGAGGCGCCAACCAGAGTGAAGCATATAGACAGTTCTCTGTTAAAAGGGAAATTGTCAAGCATGTGGTTTAGATTTTCACAGTGGGGATATTGGGAAGGGCATTTCTTCAGGCAACAGCTCATCCACAATTGCTGTGGTGCACAGATTTTGCCTGTGCTCCCTGCCTATGCCTCGAGGCTGCTGGCCTTGTTTGTGTCTTTCCCATGACACCCACAACTGCTGCTGCCAGGGACAATTTCCTTCCACAGTAATGTGTGTACTGGCATAATCTTAAACAAGCATCAGTAGGGGGATTTAGTCAAAGAAATCTACTGGTAGTTTTATTTTGCAGTGGAAATCTGTAAAGCATATTTACAATGCCCTTATATTTTACAAGAAAGGTCTGATTCAGCTCATCATAAAATAACGGAATTCTGACATTGATCTGAGAATGATTGAAGCCAGCAAGAGTACCTTAGCAGTGCTAGAATTACAGGATTATAACCCCAGACATTTTTTGAATAATATTTAAAATAAAATGTTTTGCAAATGAGCCTCAAAGGCTTAAATTAGTTTAAATTTGTTAGAAATGCATAGCCCAGTGATTGTGTAACTTCATTGAAGGTATAGAGTTTATGGCAATATCAGTGAAAAGAGAATATTTTCCAAACATTACCACAACCAGACAAATTATATTAAAAAACATTCATGCTGCAGAGTAATACAAAATAAAAATCACCTGATCAGCTCAAGCAATATTGATTTTTATCTTTGAATTAACAAAATTTCTCTGTACAGTTGCAATAAGATTTCAGTTTTACAAACTGATATTTAATCGAACACATTTATAACACAAATTATACACTATGTACAAACCTAGTTCTTCACAGAACTCTTTGTTCAGAATGCTTCAACACAGAAATGATTTACCAATTTCTAGGTCAGGATTCTAGGTCTTCCTTTCATTTAAATACCAAAACACTTATCAGAACATGAAAATAAGCCCATTTGCTATCACATGGTGCTGTTCTTAAGTCACTTGTTTGTTACCATATGTTACAGAAGAGTAGAACCAGTCACAGCAATAAATAAAAGTGCTTATTATCAACTAAACACTTATATTCACATGATCAAACTTTCAACCTGAGTGCTTTTACAAGACTGTAGGATCCATTGATCTTTGCTTGTCTTGACACATAGATCAAAATTGCAACTGCAGGTACTGCTACTGCTGCTACAGATGAGAATGCAATAATGAATGGGATCATCTGATCTGGTTCTTCCAATCTTGCTGAAAATGGAAACAAAAGGAGAAAAAAAACTTTAAGTACTCTTTGAAACAGATACATGTGTGTCACTGTAAAAGCAGTGTTATTAATGACCTTCATTTGGAACATATCTCTGTTTTCATGCACAAAGCATACTTTTTGAGTTTTCCTTGAATTTTTTTCTTTAGAACATCATATTACATACTTTAATTCCTAGCCACTATCTTTGTCTTGAATTTGCTATGCAAGTTCAAACCTATCTCTGATATCATCTATAATGAAGAATACCATGAAATTCACAAAGAACACAAGAGGAATATCACATATTATATCCAGGAAACATTTGGGTACATTTCAACCTCCTGAAATTCATCCTTCAAGGGGAAGACCATGTTTTAAAAGTTCAATATTTAGATTTTCTGTGAAACACAACCTTCTCTGGATTAGTCTCATTGTCCAAGCATGTGGACAGAAATGCAGCCAGGAATCACCTTTTTGTGGCCCTATCCTTAAAGCTACCACACCAACTCAACTAAGCAAGACAATGACAGCCACATTGAAAGGTGGTTAAAATACAGCTTGGTCTGACCAGGCTGTTTGGTTTGATTTTGGGTGAGGGGTTTTTTCACGTTAACCACAGTACTGCCATGCAAGGATCAACTATGAACTAGTTGTGCCCACCTTGATACAAATTTCACTAAAACATACAAAAAAAATAGGTTTAAGGCAATAGACCCAGCTATCTACAACAGCTATCTCAATCTCTGTAATGTTGTTCCAACCTTACTGAAAATATGGAGGACGTATATGCTTGTGTAATTTTTGATGACACTGCAGAGTATAAAGTTTCCATTCACTGATGGCAGAATAGTTTCTCCTGATGGGCTTTTTTTCAGGACCATCTCTGAGGGTGTATGTGCTACATGTAACAGTGATATTTTCTACTTCTTTAACATTTTCTGATGGATATACTAACACATTGATATTTTGGAGAGGAACTGAAAGAAATTCAAGGTAGGATTTAGCAACAAACAGAAGCAGAATTCATGAGGCATCAGCAGCTTTTACATGCAAAATACAAATCCAGTTAATGGGCCCACTGTAGTAGTTCAGCCCACAGCTTTAGCCACTGCTCTGTCACCAGCTATCCTTCCCCACTGAAGCCAACAGCAGCTGGCAAAAAGAACATTTTATCAACTGATAGAGTATGTTGCATAACTTTTACATTATATGGAGCCTCTTCTTCTTTTCTTATTTCAAATTCACAGTTTATTTGTTTGAGTTCATGAAAGGGCACAGACCAACAAACCCAGAGGCTGATGCCCTCTTTCAACAGAAGAGAAATAGAAAAGGCAAAGGAAGGAGTCCTAGAACTGTTTGGTTTTTTTTTTTTTTTCCACAAGGTTCTGCAATTTTATATCCTGTTTTCAAAAGATGAAGTGGAAATACAAAAAAAATTGAAGCAGCAATTATTTTATGCATCTGCTATTTAGGACAGAAGTTTTCATTAGCATTAAGACCCTATCACTTATGACAAGAACCTGTGCAACTCATGTCAGATTTTTTAAAGACAATTCATTCTTAATGAAACTGAAGATGTCACTCTGTGTAAAACAGGTCCTAGTATGAACTCTGCACAGCAGTTATATTAACTAACCTTTGACATACTATGTGCTGAGACTGCTCCCCCAGTTCATTAACAGTATGCATGTGTATTTTCCTGCATCCCTTAGCTGAGCCTTGTCTGTAGTATATTTGCTATCTAGTGTTTCAAGGGTTGTGAACCCATCACCAACTTTCTTTTACAGACTAGTCCTAAGAGATGTAACATCTGCAGATATGCAAGGAATAGTAACACTTTGTCCTTGTTTCGCTTTGCTTGAAGGAGAAATCAAAAGTGTATTTTTTGGTGCAGCTATAAAAATAGTAAAGAACAGGGAAGAGAGCTGAATTGGTGGCAGAAGTGATCCCTAAGCAAGACACTGTTGCTATGCAATAGGCAGAAGCAGCAGAGCTAAAGCAGAGAAGTCTGATTATTATTGAAAATGAAACTTCGCTATCATTCCAACTAAGTTGAGGAATCAGCATTTCTTGTAGCTTAAATGCAGCCTGTAAGAGCAGGAAACAGAGCTGAAGCTTAGGGAAGAAGCAAAGAGCTGTAATAGAGTGCTTCCATAGAGCAGCTTCAGCATGTACTGTCTCCTTGAATCTTTCCTATGCAAATATCCACTGATAGGCCTGCTTGGAAGGATATTTCCCTCCAGGCACTGCATATCCTCTTTACCTCATGCTTACACTTGGCAGTTGGAAGGAGTGATGGAAGCCCCACCGACTTAAGAACTTTTCATAATCTATCTGTACTAAGGCAGACTTCACACTTCATTGTTTAAAGCTTCCTAAATCACTTAGTGATATTAGGGCCACCTTTTTACTCCACTGACATCAAAGACACAATTACCTCATTCTTCAAGAAGATCTGGACCTAAAATACATAAACCAAAAAACTTGTTTTCCATCTTGTTCTACAAACCTTGAACATATAATTCCACAGCTTTTTCTTCCTTGCCAAATTGATTATAAGCTTCACATTCATAAAGCCCCAGATCTTGACTTTTCAAGTTCTGTATAGTTATAGTTGCATTTTTAGAAATTTTCTCAGACTCCCCGGTGGCTTTCTTTTTCTTCCAGGAGATCACAGGAGCTGGATTACCAGAACTAGTACATTTCATTGTCACAGTTTCCCCTTCTTTAAGAGCAGCAGGGAAAACAGTGATCATTGTATTCTTTGGTCCATCTGAAAGAAGGAGTCCGATAGTTAATCATCACTGGATTTTTTAGAGATGGATCCAACATGTCCTATTGGATACTAGACTGTCACCCTCCCAAAGCCAATTTCTTTTTCATTCCCAAAACAAAAGTAAAGCACATGGTATCAGAGTTTCTGTACAAACCCTCCATAGCCCAGACATTCTAACCAAATACTTCTAACCATGTAGATCAATTTCTCACTCATTCAGATCAGACATTCTAACCAAATACTTCTAACCATGTAGATCAATTTCTCACTCATTCAGATCAGACATTCTAACCAAATACTTCTAACCATGTAGATCAATTTCTCACTCATTCAGATCTCTACTAAAGACTGTCATCACATTAAAGATTTCATGACTTTGTTTTGTTCATCAGCACTGCTCCTTTCTTAGGGAAAAGCAGAGGACTGTGATGATTCTTTGTTCTCTCTTCATTTAATTTGGTGATTATATTTATCACTGAAGAACTAACTAATTATTTTTAAATGACTGGGAAAACTTTACACATACTTACATTTCACATTAAGTGTGATTTCACTTTTACTGTTCCCATACTTATTTTCTGCTACACATTCATAGTCTCCTCCATTTTGGAACATCACAGATGGAAGAAGAATACTCCTGGCACTAGAAGTCCCTATGTCTGCATTGTCAGATTTTCTCCTTAAAATTATCTTGGGAGGAGGGTTGCTTTCAGCAGAACATTGTATGGAGACATTTTGTCCTTCCTGAACGGTTGTAGAAGGTTCAATGGAGAGTTTTGTAATGACTGGAGCACCTGCATGACAAAAGAAAAGGCTGTTAGAGTAATGCAAAGGTCCTAAAGATGGAGAAGGTTTTAAGAAAGCATGAATTGCTTGCTCAAGAATCTGTTTATTTTGGTTTTGACCCCAGACTCAATCTAAGACTTTTAGCTCTGTCAAAAGAGTAGCAGTCAATCAGTCAATCAATCAATCAATCTCAAAATATTACAATAATATTATTATGTCCAAAACATTTTTACCATTAAATGCCTATTAAATTTAATGCTAATGACTAAAACTATTAGTTCAAAGAAGGAGACTGTGATGTCCTTTTGAAACTGGTATGCATATTACATTTCACAGAAATACCCTTGTGTGTGTGTCCCCACCACTTTCTCAGACTCTTTTGTGACTTTTAGTGTGGCATTGTGGGAAATGTACTGAACTGTGCATGCACAACAGCAGTACTGAGAGAATTAGCTGAAAATTAAATATAGAAAGAAAAACTACAGCACGTGAGAACCAGCCTTAAATTGAAGCTGAGTCCTGAATATGTAAAAAGGAAAGCCCCATATTTTCCTAATTTTCAGTGGTTCAGCATCCTCCAAGCTAACAGAGATCAGCCAGTTAGGTACTGGATAATACAAGTGAAACTCAGACTTGTACCTTGTATAATAATGTCCACAGTTGCTTCTTCTGTTTTATTAGTTACTAGATTGATTACTTCACAGCTGTACCGTCCTGAATCATTGAAATGGACACGGGGAATAAAAAGAACATTGTTTTTTATCAGATGCTGAATGCTTTCTTCAGCCAAATGTTTATGCCAAACTATTTGTGCTGGTGGGTTACTCTGAGTCACACAAGTGAGGTTCAGAGAATCTCCTTCCATTGGGGAGTTGCCTGGAGATACAGTAATGGCAGTATTTTGTGGACCAACTGTAAGAAAACAAAAGGAAGACAAGATCAGTATGTAAATGAAGAATGATATGCACGGCTCTAACACTAGCTTTTCTAGAGGTACTTGTCACAGAATACCAAGAAAAAAAAGAAAAATACGTATCCCAGTAGCACAGTGGACCATTTTTCCAGAATTAGTAAGATATTTTACTTGCAACTTTGAAAGCTGAACTAGCCAAAGCCCTTGTACAAAAATACTTACAATTTACATCAAGTTTCTGAGAAGATGTTCTTTCTTTGGGTTCAAAATCCATATCAGCAATTGGTAACCTGGCCACACAGGTAATCTCTTTCCCAGCATCTTCAGCCATGGGATGAAATGTATATGTCACAATTTTGGTCTCTGTATTTGTGCTGTCATCGTCTGAAAAATCTTTCTCATGAAGAACATGTTCATCTTTCTTTAGGAGAACTTCCAGGTGATGAGAAGGATACACATCAGGAATTCTACAGATGACAGGGGCTGGTTCTCCAGCAACTAAGGATTGGCTGATCTCAATGACAGGATCACTGGGGAAAGCTAAAAGAATAAAATCAATTTCTTTAGACTAGCAGAGAAGAACAGTAGGGTCAACATAAGAGCAAGATCCAGACATCAAATATCTTGATTTTAGAGGTATTCAGAACATGACATTCTATCAACATTATTACAAGACATAACTTGATCTGAAGATCTACAGGTCCTTTATCAGCAGTACATATACTAACAGGAAGTTTATTTGTACAATTGTTGAAACATGATCACAAAAGATTAGTAAGATTCAGCATGGCACCTAGGCAGTGATGCAGCTGCTTAACCATAGGCATTGAGAGCAATCCATGCACTAGTGCTATCCTGTTTTCTGTGCTAGTAGGTTTAGATGTTAAGAATTATTCTCCTGCAAACTACAAAGGCTTTGACTTTTATTTCCCTATCTCTAGGAATGCATTCAGGCAGTGCACATTTTGGCTTTTAAGAATTACCAAAAACAAGAATAAATAATACTAGTACATACAATCTTCAATGCAGAAAGCAGAAAAGGGCTAAGAAAGTGTCCTGAACAGGTATATAAAGGAATCTCAGAAGGAAGTATATGTTGAGCTATAACACTCCTTATCCTAGAATTAAAAGTTAACTGGTAACCGCAATATATAAAACAATTATTGAGTTTTCTATCAACATGTACTATTTAAAGAGAATTTTACATTTTTACTTACAGTAAAGTTCAACTTTGACACTCTTCTCCTTTTTCCCTCTCTCACCACATATGACAGTACAAAGATAAGAATGAGAATTCACAATGCCAACTGGATTCATAGTCAATGTAGAATATGTCCTGTGGTTGCTGACTTTTCCTCCAAGGGGGCTGTCCATCTGGGTTCTCCAGGAAAAACGTGGTGATGCACAGCCAGTAGTATTGCATGTGAGTATGAGTGTGCCTCCAATCTGTGCCACAATTCTCTCAGCAGGTATAATTTCCATTTCAAAACCTTTAACTACAAAAGGGAAAACACACATCAATTCAGCAGCTTTCTCAACTTTTTTCCTGTTTCTTCTCATGTTCTACTGTGACATGAGGTCTTTATGCTTCATTTCTTTACTTTATGGTTGTGTGAAAGTTAAACTAATAAAGCTCATACAGTGGTTTACATATTCAAAACACCCCATAAACATTGCTATTTTTGTCAAAGACAATACAGACTCAGATGACTGGCAGTTCTCATGTATAAGATGGCATCAACCAAATTTAAATAAATGCATTGCCACATCATAACTTTTTTTATCAGGTGGATCTGATTCTAAAACTTTGTAACATTTGAGGGGAGAGATAACAGGTAGATAGCAAAGACATCAGCAGGAACACTTTCAACAGGACATTTAGTACCAAACTTGCTTGCTACTGTCAGGAATGACAGTAAAAAATCAACCATCCAGTGATATACTGCAGTTGTCTCCTAGACTATCTTTTAGCAAACTCAATAGGAAAACGACTGAGTCATTGCAGAGCACAGAAAAGCTCAAAGTAAATGTCAAAAAAAGCTTCCTGACATTTTGACAGGACTACTTAATTGACAGTTGTATTCACTGAAATGGAAAGGTAACTGAAGAAAAGAGAAATAAAGATCAAACAGTAAATTTTAGGTCAGTTTACACTTAACAAAGTTTAAAAAAATAAAACCAGCACCACCAACCCTCACCTTCCCCAACTTACCAGTCCTTAATACGCACAAAATTAATAGCACAGCCTGCCTTGCTCTTCCCATCTCCTTAAACATTTGTAATTGCTGTTACTGGATAAAGAAAGTAAATTCAAAAGTTTACTTTCTGTTTTCTGTGAAGAAGCACTGTGAGATCTTGCTGCTCTGCAACGGTTTGTTGCAAGAGTTCCAGCTGGCTCTTTATAAAGGCTCTCCTTGGTGCAGAGTGGGAAATCCCTGGACGGGAAAATCCAGAGCAGGGGGGAAGAAACCCAAATCGGGCGGTGTCCGTTGGCTCAGCGCCCTCTGCTGCTTTTGTGACAGCCCAGGAAAATAAATAGCAAAGCTTGTAAATACAGTGCCTACTACATTTGGAGAATTCTGTTTCAGATCTGATCTTGCAAACGACTGATAAAATGAAAGAATGTGCATAAGTCCAAGTAATTGAATGCAACGATATTTCAGATTAAAAGTTATTCAAATTTGTTTTTCATGGAAATATTTTTGTGGGATTGAGTTTTCAGAACAGCTCTAACAATGCTCAGCTCTGTAAACAACATTACATGACTCAGTACTTCCTTTGAAAACTGTGCTACCAGTTTCAGAAGTGTTGTTACTCATGTTCCTAAGTACTTTTGATCTCTAAAAATGAAGAAATACATCAGATAACAGAAGTCTGGAGATCTGACTTAATCAGCTTGAATCAGACTCATACTCTTCAAATTAATGGAATTAATTAATATACCCAATGCCACTTTGCAGTGGATACACAAATCCAGTTTGGAATGTTTCTGAGGACAACACTTACTGGCTAATATGGCAGCGATGTTAGAAAAAAACGTAAAATAACACTTTCAGTGTTTAATTTTCACTTGGAAAATGCTGTGAATGCAAAGAATGGATAAAGGTTTCTAAATCTCAGTCTATTTATTCAACTACTTAAGTAATTCAGGTACTACAGAGGGATCTGGACAGACTGGATAAATTGGCAGAGGCCAGTTGGATGAGGTTCAATACAGCGAAGAGCCGGGTCCTGCTCTTAGCTCACAGCAACCCCATACAGCACTATAGGCTTGGGGAAGAGAGGCTGGCAAGCTGCCCAGGGCAGAAGGACCAGGGGATGCTAACTGACAGCAGCTGAACCTGAGCCAGGTGTGCCCAGGGGCATCCTGGCCTGTATCAGGAGCAGTGTGGCCAGCAGGAGCAGGGCAGTGATTGTGCCCCTGTACTGGGCACTGGTGAGGGCACAGCTGGAGAGCCGTGCCCAACTGTGGGCCCATCACCTCAGGGGAGGCACTGAGGGGCTGGAGCCAGCCTGGAGAGAGGCAGCAGAGCTGGGCAAGGGGCTGGAGCACAGGGCTGAGAAGGAGCAGCTGAGGGAGATGGGAATAATAATAATAATAATAACAATAACAACAAATTAAAAATCCACTCCAAGACAATCCAAGAATTACCCAGAAGGCAATAAAACAGGGAAATCTGAAGCATCTGGAAATGCCTAACCAAAAGTCACTAAAACTAAAATTCAATGAAATTGCTACAGTGGATTCTACCATAATATTTTATTTTTATTATCACCATCATACTTTTTTTTGTTAGAGGAGGATGAGGAGAAGGCAGAGAAGGAGGAGGAGGAGGTGGAGAAGGAGGAGGAAGAATAAAACACTCCTAAGTGTCACAAAATGCAAGCAGTGTACTGTTCTAGAAGTACTGCTATCAATTCCAAAAATCCAAGAGCTATCCAGGATAGGAAATAACACTTCTACACAGTGTGATTTTACTGCAGAGAAAGGGGTCTTATTGAAGGAGAGTGTACTCTCTCAGTTAAGTTGCAAATAATTACTTTAAAATCATATTCAGAGAAAAGCAAGAAATGAAACTGTTCTGCTTGGACTGCTTAAATAATCATCAGAAGCTAAGCTAAAAGAGAAAGGGTGATATTTCCTTGTTTCTGGGAAATGAGTTTCTAGACGGAAAAAAAAATTAAACATAGGCGGACATAGCTGCATACTGGAAAGGTCTTAATCAAGTCCTTCATCAGATAACATGAAATAGGAAATAACTCTGATCCTGGTCTCAGTAAATTAAACTGTACAGCTGCCATGAACTTTACTGGAGCTGGATCCTTACCAGAGGGACTACTATTCTGAGTAATCAGACAAATTCAACTCAGAAAGTTCAGGTAAGAGCAGAGTTAGCCAACAAATATTACTAAAGGAAGTACAAATCTGCCAAAAATTTAAACAGTTTTAAAAAACTTTCTCTTTACACAATTTCAAATGTAAACCTTCTATGTATTTAAAATAAAATATGTACATTACTGTTGCTCCTACTTCCCTCAGCATCAACCTCAAATAGGAAGATGGGCACCAAGTAGAGTTATTTTCAGAACTCTCTGTTCTGGCTGTAAACAAAGAGAGATCAGCTGACAAGTTTTAGCACTTGACCTTGAGAGTTCAGATAATCTAGTTTTTTATTCAAACAGCACAGAGGAGGATGCTGGGGGTAAAACAGAGGATGCATCTACATCCACAGTGAGATAAGTATTATAGAACCAATTGGAAGAAATCTTGACACATGCAGAGTGTAATGAGGACTGGAATGAAACAAGTATTACAAGAATATTACTAAAGGCAAAAAAGATTAAAAGAATTAAGCCCTGGGATGTAACTACTAACACTGGAATGTTTTTCAATACATCTAGTAATCAAAGCAGACTTCTAGGGCTTTGATGGACAAACTAAGATAAACAATTATGTGTTGCAAAACAGAGTTTGGAAACACTGAACACAATTTTTGGCCCGGCATAAGAAAACACAAGCGTCCTTCAGGAAACTAAAATTTACATCAGATTTATCTGGAATTTAAGAAAATAAACCATTTCAGAACTGTGCTAATCATTTGCTTTAACTCCTACTTCTGCAATTCTATTAAATACCTATATGATGCATTTATTAGCTTCATCTAAGCAAAAGAGATAACAAGTTCTTGAAATCTTAATGAATTATTTGAACAAAATGCACGTTATCCAACATGTTAGTTATCCAATGTTTATACATCTTTTCCAGCATTTTTTCCTCCTGTCTTATGGAGGTTATTAGGGGAAAACTGAAAAGCCAACCTTTTGCAGAATCTGGACTCTTAAAACCTTCACCAGTGGTATTGTGATTTATGGACAAGGACCTACGGTGAAGAGAGAGAGAAATTTCCTCTGTCCTTTTGACAGAGGAAATTTAAGAAAAAAGAAGGTAGAAGGAAACTCATCTGACCTGACATTCTGGTGAAAGGATGCAGCAAAGTCTGACTCAACAGTTCTTTAGCCCCATATCAAAGAGGTGTTACAGCAAGTCCATACTTAGGTCCCCTGTTCAAACTGCAGCCCTCACACGTCTCAGAAAATATTCTTGGGATGTGCACTGGGGGTATGAGTAAAGAAAGCCTCGGAGTTCCAGATGCTTTACAGAAGCAGCTGGGATGAAAAGCTTCCACCCCACGCAAAGAGTGTCTGATACCTCTGCAGGATGATCGTGCCTGAAGAAAAAGAGCCAGAGGACTGTGCTGTAACTCAAATGAGAACTAACCTCGGAGAGAAAACTCACTTCAGCAAAGAAGGAATGCCCTTCAGGCACCACATGCAAGGCAGTACCTTTACTATGGTCATATCTTGATAAAGTAACTGAAAAAACATGAAACTGGAGGACATGTATGAAGACTGCTGATTACATGGCTAATACAGCAGGAAATGATCTGCCAGTCTCAATATTTGCAGTACTCAGTAACTTCAATAGCCTGCTCTATGGGTTATACACTGTCTCCTTCCTCAGAGCACCTGGACTTTTGGTTCCCAAAGCTGCCCCAAACTTTGCTTCTCCTGACTCTCTCCACCTGCTTTCTCACCACCTGACAATAATACAATCTCTGTATAGCCCCAAGAGGGGGAGGAGAGCATCACTGACTCCCTATAATTTTCATCTCCGGATGGGAAGGATGAGATCTACATGCATATCTATTTAAAGGGTTGTGTCTGTTTCAGGAATTGTAACTTTGTACCTAACTACAAAAAGAACACCAACGCATTACCCTGTAACCCACATCGCACCTCACAATTGTACTCCACATCTAACTTGTCATCTATTGCAAGAAGAAAAAGAAAAAGAAACATCTTAAGAAAGTTTCATTACCTGGTTCTTTCCCTTTTCTGGAATTTCTTAAATACCATATGTAAAAATAAATGCATCAACTTCCTCCATGATCTTTCTCAGGCACCAGCTTCTCAGTTAGGACACTTCCTGTCTGGTTAGTCTGAAGGCAACCAGAATCCACAAAGGTGCCAAATAAAATAATACAGAAGAGTGATAAGATGCATAGACTACAGATTAGCTAATTTCTTATTTTCTTCTATTCAGCAGCATTGTGCACTTCACAGAAAGAACAAAAATTTTATCTAATAATAAATAAAAGCCACTAGAGAAAAAAGTCCCTATTTTTTATCCTAGTCTTCTGTTACTGGAAAAAATACATGCTTTGGAAATTCCAAACTTTATTTCTAAAAAACTGAAAGTATGATTTTAGTGGTGCTGGATCTAAAAATGAAATGAAACTGTTGGATAGTGTTGAAATCCACATACTTTAAGTGCCAAATGCTGTAATCCAAGCCAAACCTCATTAGTTTGGATAGCTGTGCTCCTGTTGTCTTCACAGTGACATAGTTAAAAATAAGTTTCCCTCCTGAAATATTACCTAGGCTATAACAAGAGTCAAATTCAAATATGAGCCTTGGAGTATTCAAAATCTCTTTGGGAATTCTGAAGTAAGACTTCAGATTCACTTTTATTTTGATCTGAAAATATAGCAAGGCATATCAAAATAATTTGTTCTCACTTGAGAAAACAATAAAAAAACCCCTGACAAAACTGATTCAAAATGGACAGAGTGAAAAATAGAGTGGGCTTTGGGTCAACATGCAGATGATAGCTAGAACTTAGGACATGGCAAGGTAAAGTCAGATGAAAACATTTAAGAAGGAATATGAGCAAGTTACTTAATTCCCCCAACATTCCACAGGAAATTCTAATACCATTAAACCTTGTTGTGTACTTTATTGAGGCCAGTGTTTCATATGGTCAGAAGAAGTTTATCAAGACAGTGGCAGAGAACTTTTTGACCAAGCTTTCGTATTACTCACCAGCAGCAGCTCTGCAATACCCTTGTTCATTAGTCACTTCCCTGTTTGCCACATCCTTCCTGCTCTTCAGTCATGAGGTACATGGATGTCCCTATGAACCAAGGCAGAAAAAGGGGAATGATGAAAGCAAGATCTATAACAGACCATCGTACCTGCAAGAAATGCAGAACTTGGATTCTCCTACACTGGCCCCTGAAAAGTGCACTGCTACTAATGGATTATCCTTCAACTTATCTTCCAGAATATATTCTTTTTTATTCTCTTACAATGGTTCATATTCTGAAGTACTGTGCTTGGCTGGGTATTTTTGCTGCCTTGTGTTTATAGAATGTTATCTTTATTGTCCCCCAGTGGACTGGCTCACTAACAGGTAGAAATATTACACAGATGTCAGAAAGGAATTAAATGACTTAACTTTGCAGAATTCAAGATTCATAATTTTTAAATCTTCCATATAGGTAAGAATTACAGAGATTGCTCAGTTTATTTTATTAATTTTTTTTAAGATACACACAAATTAAATCTCTTTTTTACCTAGATTTTGTTACACTCCCCTCTCTGGAAATGGACTGAAAGTCCTGAAGAAACTGACCTTCCAAATAGAAGCAACTGGGAATGAACCAATTTTTACTTCCATCAAGCCAAAATGACAAGTATTCAAGAGAAAGCATTTTGCAGTAGCAAAATATGTACGTTTGTGTGTCTGTACACATACTGATAAATCAAATAATGCTTGAAACCAGTTGCAACTCTATTAAGGGACTGGCACCCTGCTTTTGTCTCTGGAATGTGCTCTACCCTAAATAAAAAACATACTGTTTTGTCACTTGGACTATTTCTCTCTCTCCTTTCTTTCCCCCAGACAGTTAGGTATCATAACTGCTTTGTTTGTTAACACTTCCACAAAAGGAATATAGCAAAGTAGGAGTGGCTAAGTGATAAAAACCATAAGCAGCTGAATTTTTCTTGACAGACAAGGGTAAGAAAGATGAGAGTTAATGGAATTTATTTCCCCTTCCCAGACAATTACTTGGCTAGGCATCAAAGCCCCAGCCCTTGTAGTCTGATACAGACAACCGAGCAAGAATGGCTTTCATAGTTGTGTCACCTTTTATCACAGACCATGTTACACTCTAGTGATAAGAGAGGCAACTTGAGAAATGTGTCACATGTTTGAAATTGCTCTCAGGCAGGATGAAACTCTGTACTGAATTAGTATGAGAAATAACTGACTTCCAACATTCTGATACTTCTTAGCCAAGGATCTCTCCAGAAATTTCCCAAGAACTGTATGTGAATATCAAATAATAAGTAACAGATGGTTTAATGACCCTCTTGGTTGAAAAAATTTTGCATTGTTTGACTTAATTTCTTACTATAGTTAGCTCCACACCATGAGGAATGGATATTGGCAGCCCTCTTTCAAGAGCTCAGCTCCAGGCAAACCTACAAGGGTCACTTGCAGCTGAATGAAATAACCATTGACTAAGTGAGATGACCATGCACCTACTGCCAGGGCTTTCACTCAGAAACTGGGACATCCTAATGGGAAAGGGAACAATTCTGTGCAACCCACAGTTTTCAACAGATAAAGAAGACATAAACGTTTCATAAGCAGTGTTGAATCCTTTTGTGGATCAAGGATCAACCAGTTAAGTTCTCATAGGCTCATGAGCTCGAGATGAATCTTACCTCAGGAGTGCCTTTCAGTACCCAGGACATCAGCAGCATGGTGACTTGGATCTGCAAGACCATCAGGCTCCAGGCACAGGAACTTCCCCAGATGTATGAGGGTGAATTCATTAAGATTTTGAGCAAATCATCCTACACTGAGTCTCCAAGATTATTTGAATGAATGTAATACAAACATCTCACACTAAAAAGAAATGCATTCTAGGAATTCTCTATTATTGATTTAAAGTGTTTTATATAAACCCATCAGCCTGTAAGTGATTTATCATTACATTCTATGATACTGATTCACTGATTCACCTGCTATGGCACTAAGATCCAGCTGCTGACTTTTGCTTTTCTTGCACTCTTGTGTGTCTTGTGCCATGACTATTGAACTTCTGTGGCATGAAGAGATTTTCATTCTACCTCTAAGGTCAGCATATGGATCCTACTGTAGCTCATGGTTTCACAAAATGTGCTGTTACAGAGCAAATATGGTCTATCAACAATTTAGGATCTCAGCCAATTTAAGAAAAAATGTTGCACTTTATCCCACATACTGTATTTATTAATGGGAATATTTATTTTAAATTTATTTTTCTAATTCATTAATTGGAAAATTAATAAATAAAAATTATATTTAAAGATTACGACAAGATTTTCACATTAAACTTAAAGGAGGACAAATTTTCAGGTCAAGTCTATAGTACAGAATGATTACAAGAATGAAGAGAAATTTATCACAAGATTGAAAAGTAAGCAGTGTATATGTTCAAAACTCCATATCTACCCAGGAAGAAAGCAATTACTAAATTAATCTGCACTCTTTACTAGTTCCTACTAGCTCACCATATTCCTTTTTTAATAAAAGAAACAACTGCTTTCTAATTTTTTAAGGGATTATAGAGTTGATAAATGCTACTAATTTAGTCTAAAGCTGCAGATGGTTATAAAGATGAATAAATGAGAAGATGACAATCCTGCACAACATTCCTTGTGAAGTTAGTTTTGGTTTTGTGAATCATCTGTAAACTTACCTTGATCTTTTATTTTCTTACTCTTTCTAACAAAATCTAATGTTTCAATTAATACATTTCATATCATGGCACTAAGCCATTTTCATAAGGATTTCTATAATGTGCCATTTAAGATTCAGTTTATCCTTCCGAGGCTGTTTTAGACAGAAAATTAAAGCAAAAACTCAGACAACCACATTAGTGTTTTGACTGGCAAACACAATTACCTATGGGACTTGAGTACTAATAGCACTTTTCTGGCACATAGCTGTAAAGCAAACCATTGTGAATAACTGGAAATCCTGTCAGGATCTAATTAGAAGAAATAGGGCAAAAAAACAAGTGAGAAGTTGTCTGTGACTTCTTGGTAATCTCATGATTATGGAGTGACATCAGTTCAACAATTTCATAGTAACTCCTTAAAGTCGCTGAGGGTTAAACACAGTGCAAGCCTAGCTTGATACGTGCTTGGAACTTCAGTTTCTCCTTGGCTGTAATTGCTGTGTCTCAAAGCAAGGCCTGTGCATTATTCAGAGAGCTCTCTGGAGCTCATGGAATGTCAAGAGCCTGCAGGGAAAGCGAGTGTGGCCTGGATTGTCACAACTGGGTTTACAACACACAGAAGTGTTCAGTAACAGTGAGAGCAGCTTGATGCTTCCCATATGAATATGCAGGAACTACCCAGGAGCCCAAGGCAGCTTTCAAATCTTGCTGTTAAAGAGAAATGAAATCTGCGATTCCTGCCAGTGTAACGGTGCTTTACACAGAGATAAATTTCACAGGTTCTTCTCTGAGAAACTTACTAGTCAAGGTATGAATGAATGCCAGACTCTGTCACAAATTCATTTGTAAAATTTCCAGGGCCCACAAATTAGGAGGCTATTTGAAAGATTGTTAAAACAATTTCTTTTAAATATCATAAGTTCTTTCTATGCTAAAACTTAAAATCTTTCTCAAAAAACTAGGAATCACTTACAATTGCTCCACAAAACACAATAAATAATGCAAATAGATAAAAGAACAAAAACTGGAAAAAATGGTAAACGGGAAGTAGGTATTGAGGAAAATTCTGAAAACATTATTGAATAGTCTTGCTTCAGTATCTCATGTATTTCAGGAAAATTTTTTTCTTATGAAGTAGCTCAAATGAAAGGACAAATGGTGCTAGCACATAGAGTTAAGATAAAAAATATTATAAACAATATTCCTATTCCCTTATTATTATTTCCACATATTACAAAACACATTGCATGTTTTGCATTGGAGGCTATACTTTCTAATTTCTTTTGCCAAAAGGAAACTTTTTCATAATTAAGTGCTGCTGCTGTTTCTCCCTCACATTTAGAACTATTTGTTTATTATCTTTTCCAGTGTATATTAAAAGAAACACAACTGTACACCAAAGCATTTGACATGTCTGCTTTTGCAGGAGAAAGACTGTTTTTCTATTTAATTCAATATTCCTCTAAACCTTGGTAAGAATAAAGGAAAGTAGTCCAGAAGCTGCCTAGTACCTGAGATCTAACTCCTATTCCCCCATTTCCAGTCTTTTGGGACTGAAATCCGGTTTGGATTTGCTCATGAGTGTAGTTGTTACAAGGAGATGGAGATGGACAGAATATACCTACAGTGGATGAGTCAGAATTTTTTCAAGCCAGAATCCCATTCCTGACGCAGGCCAAAAGCAGATTAAAAGATAAAATCTTGAGAATGGTAGAAGCACAAACGATACAGTTGCTTAAACATTGACTCAGAAAGAAATGGTCTGCATTGAGTCTGTGGTTTTGGGAACATAATTCAATATAAGAAAAATCCTATGAGCAAATGAAATTTGAGAAATATCTAAGAGATTTGGAAATACAACTTTACAGATGTATTTCTAAAGCTTGCAGCCTTTTAAAACGTATCCTAAACAGCATAGAAAAATAGAAATTAATAGTATTAACTAACACTATTGCAATTAGAACAAGGAATCACCTGCTCTGTTCTGCCACTCTTAAACCAGCTCTGCTGCTTTATTTTCCTCTTGCACTACTGCAAAACCCTTTTCTCCTGCAACTTTAAAATAATCTCTGTCATTTCTGAATCTAGAATGCCACTGAACTTTATCAACTGAGCTCTTCTTAACATCCCAGCATTGCACAGAGCCTCTGTGAAAGTTTTGAGCTGTCCCACAGCTGTTGCTGCCTGCCAGTGCACTGCTCTGAGGCTATCTCAGTCCTGTTAGCACAGTTTGGCTGTGTCACCATCTGCTGACTTTGCACTACAAGTGTCACAGAGCTGCCTGTTGGCACCCACCTGTAAACATAAGATTTTCCCAAATTAACCACACCACTTCTTACTTAGGTTTGCATTCTGGCTTAGTCTAAAGCCCAAGGGACTCAAACAGAGATTCTTCAAGATACACTTTCAGACTTTGCATTGTCCTCTTCAGCTATGTAATGACTTACCAAATGATTTTTTAACCCACATTTACTAACTCTGCAAACTGGAATGACTGAAAGGCTAGGGAGCTGCTTTGCTTGCTTCTTTGCAAGCCCAGATTGGTATAACTGAAGTCATAAGGAACATGATAATTTAGAGAGCTCCTGCTATGCTGGGCTGCTCAGCCCAGGGCTCAAGGGCAAAGAATGGATGTAGTTCAAAAGGCTGTCTTTGCCACAGCACAAAAATTTGCAAATTTTATCACAAGAATATATATCTTTACTTGAAGAGTGGAAGTTACCTTTGTACAACAGCTTGAAAATCATGTCAAAACTGATCTCAAAATTCAAAGTCGTTTCAAATGAAATATATTAAATAGTAAATCTCTAATATATATCATCAAAATCACTTTTCTTTCTGTGGTGTTTCTTCCTACTCTCCTCTTGGGAGGAAGTTGGCACTTTTCATTATAGAAGCATCTATTATCTCTCTTTAAACATTTCCCAATTTTAGCAGAGAAGACTCCACCTTCTCCCAATACACAATAAACAAAACCTTTCTAAAGCCCTTTTCAAAATCCCAAAGTTGCACATGGGATAAAGAAAGAAACAGGATGTTAAAGTAAATTACACAAAAATAGGAAGAAGGTTGTTTATGAAATGGCAACCAGAGT